ATACAATAAAATCCAATCAAATCAGCATGTATAAGATTTATAAGATTTTGAAATGATATTCTATACCATAACAGTCAAACAGAATTCCAAACAATACAAGAAAAGATACACGATTTCTCTCCACAACAAAAAACACACCCTTGACTCATTCACTCATTTATCTCGCACCCCCTCCATTACCATCATCTTCCTTTATCGGTCTTTCATCATCCACTTTTCCCCTCCCTCCCCTTCTGACGACCGAGCAGGCGACCTGACTGACGAAGAGGCCGTCCTCGCTTGGCTGACGAGCGAGAACACTCTCGAAATCCCCAATCAGATCGAGGAGGTCAACGAGAGGATGCTGGACAGGATCCTCAACACGTCAGATAACGTCGCCGTCTTCTTCTGTGAGTGGGATGTTTGGGCCTTTCGCTTCGTGCTTGTCCGTGTCGCGTTTTCTTTTCTTTTTCTTTTTTTTGATCCGTCTTGTCTCTGTCACTCCCTCTTTTTTCTTCTCTTCTCTTCTCTTCGCGACTCTCTTTTCTTCTCTTCTCTTCTTTTCTCTTCTTTTATTTTTTTTCTTCTCTCTCTCTCTGTCTCTCTCTCTTTCTCTCTCTCTCTCTCTCTCTCTCTCTCTCTCTCTCTCTCTGTCTCTCTCTCTTTCTCTCTCTCTCTCTCTTTCTGTGCGCGTGTGTGTGTGTGTATGTGTGTGTGTGTTTATGTGTGTGTACATGTATGTGTGTTTATTTACCCGTGTATATACTGTACTTGTATGTTATCACATGTATTGCTCTTCCTCATCCTGCTCCTCCTGTATCTCTCCAGATTCCGAGGGTGACAAGAAGAGCCGAGACATCCTCGTCGAACTAGAAAACATCGATGACGAGTGCGATGACATTGGCATTGACTTCGTCAAGGTTTCGGACGAAAACATCGCTAAGGAATATGAAGTCGTGATCCTCCCAGCTCTCGTCTACTTCAGAAACCGCTTCCCCCAGATTTACGAGGGTACATTTGGACACTGCCTTTTACTAATACATTTCTCTTTATTTTTTTGACTGTATTAAAAAAAAAAACAGGACATCAATGGACGTTCTGATACCACGGACTATATGAGATATATTAACAAACTGATTTTTTATCCTCCTCCTCCCTCAGGCGACCTCAAGGACGAGGAGGCTTTGTTAGAATGGCTCATCGACAACAAGGACAAAGGACCAGCATCTATCATCGAGGAGGTGGACGGCCAGATGATCCAGAGCCTCGTGGAGGGCTTCGAGTATCTCGTGGTGTACTTCTGTGAGTACCTGCGGGGGCGGAGAGGAAGGAGGAAAGGGAGGAGGAGTGTAGGGAAAGGGATGAGAAAGAAGTAGGATGCCGAAAGAGTAAGAAATCAGGTGGAGGAGATAAACAAAAGAAGGCGGTGAAGGTCTGTGGAAAGAAGAAGGGAAAGAACGAAAAGTGAATATACAGGATGAGAATAATGGTTAATAGTTAAAACAAATAAATGTGCTAAACATCAAGGTATAGCACTCTATAGGATGAAAGAGAATGGGGGGAGGGATAGATTGAAAGAAAAGGGACATACAACAAAACGAGTTATAAACAAGCTGTTTGGGTATTGATTGGGTGAAGCATCCGGGGGGTAGTATATCAGAGTCCCATGAAATTTAACCCATAACTGAAATACCTCATGATTCCACATACGTTCCAATGAAATATCGAAGTTCTATAGCACCCAGACCCCAAGTACAAAGAATCAGCGCCATAAGCCCTTCAATATTGCATGCTACATTTCAGTGGCGCTTTTCACCCTGACTCTCCCTCGTTTTCCCACCTCCAGACGACGATAACTGCCCCACCTGCGAGACCGTCCTGGCAGACCTCGAGACCATCGACGACGAGACGGACGACGTGGGCATCCAGTTCGTCAAGACCAACGACGTGGAGGTCGCCGAGGACCTGGGCATCAGCCACCTGCCCGCCCTCGTCTACTTCGAGGGCGGCGTGCCCAGTATCTACGATGGTGAGTTCCTGGCCTACGTCTGGGGCTTCCGTGTTGATCGAAACGTACCGCGGGATCTTTATGTTTCATGTTTCTTGATGAACAGGTTAAGAAAAGGAAGGCGTGAGGTCGCGACGTTATTGATTAGTCAGTGGGATATTTTATATTGAAGAGATCTAGGAACAATACTCGAGTACGAACCAAGATGTGAAATATAGATAGATAGATAGATAGATAGATAGATAGATAGATACATAGATAGATAGATAGATAGATAGGTAGATAGATTCAGATGTAGATATAACTATATAGATATAGACATATAGATAGATAGATAGATTCAGATGTAGATATTACTATATAGATATAGACAGATAGATAGATAAATAGATAGATATTTGTGAATATATAAAAAATTATCGAGATTCATTGTTGTTCTTACATTTACGTAAATATCTTATCGTTAATAGCGACTGTAGCGCCACTCCGTAATAATAAAGAAATTCCAATAGTACACATCATGTATAAAGCAAAATTAAATTAGCATATAGAACAATACAGCAGCATTCGATGAGCAAGGAAGTTAAGAAAGAGTAACAGTAATAATCTTTCGAAATGGTGTCTTAAATAAAGATGCTATGAACAAGGGAAATCCTAATGAACGTGATTTCTGTAAGTTTATCGCTAGTCGTGTATGGTATAATACCTAGCAACATCTTTTAATATCTACACATGGAAATCACTAATAAATAGTACCAAAGTATTTTGAAACTGGTAATGTTTAGTGTAGACTAATGTAGACTTTAAAGTGTATCTAGTTTTAAGCATGTAGCAGTCCTGAGGGTTAGACAGTGTCCATCACAGAGCCAATCAGCTGTCCGGAACTAAGGTGTCACGTGACCAAACCTTTCCGATCTCGGCTCTGATTGGCTGACCATTTATGTTCATATAATTTAATGTGATTAGCTAAATCTCCTTTGAATCTTGTGATTGGTTGAATTATAAATGGGATGAATAACATTCTACTTATGCTTGTGATTGGACATATGTTTATGCCTGAAAGGTAACTGCTATTCATCTTAGATTGAAATGGATTAATTAACCGGTATAAATTCTGTCGAAATCTTAGTTTCATTTAGTGCTTATGCTTTGCTTTGGTAGACATGGAAAATGGTTGTCATAACAGGCACTCTAATGCAAAACTTGTGAAAGCTAATAATCTCAAAGCACACTGTGACTGCTTGGAGTTAAAAGGCAATATCTTCCAATGTGAAAGAAAAACAAACACAAAAGCAAAGCGTTGGGAGTCACACGACCCCTGACCTGACTCGAGCTGTGTCCCTCATTAGGTCACGTCTGTTGCATCCCCAGGTGACGACAGGGGCATCTTTTCTTGGATAATTGCAGAAAAAAGTAAGCATCTTTGTTTGTTTTCCCCCAAAAACCTACACAAGGATGACCTGGAACTATGCATACTCAGGATATACGTATTTATTCATTTATTTTTCTATTTTTATTATCGTCTATCTATCAGTTATAATTGTTTTTATTATAATTTTTGTCGTTATTATTATCGTTCTTAATTATTATTATCATGATTATTATTATTATCACTATTATTTCAAGTATCATAATTGTTATCATCATTACTATCAAATTCGCTTTTTTTGCAACGTAGAATTCAGTATTCATATATCTTTATTATGCCTATATGTAAGAGAACAATGAGATAGCTAACTCATTTGAGAGAGAAAGAACTGCATCTGGTTGTATATAACTAGATTGGTGTTACTATATCCAATGTGAGATTACCAAGTTTCCTGTTATCAGCTAGGATTAAAAATTTAGCAGTCCAGGTCTTCCTTTTCTCATGCCAAACCCAAATTAAACAAGAAAAGAACTAGTAAAACAAACAAATAAAACAAGAAGCAAAAAAATATACGATACAAGGTGTCCTACGTCAAGTTCGTAACTAATCTTTAAATATATGGTTCGTCTAAAACTCTTAAATAGATTCATGATATTTTATTAAATAGATTTTTTCTTTGAATAGTATTAGCTTACTAAATAATGTGTCATTTTGTCTAAATAAGAGAAAGTGGAAATTGACAATAACAAAGATAAAGACTAGTATTCAAATTATTTATTTTCATTGAATAATACACTGCATAAATAATACATGTTACTAATTGCCATCCCGTTGTCCTATAGCCATGTATTACATTATGAACTAAAGTCTTAGAGAATTAATATTGACAGTACATTACCGTGGACGTGTTAGATTTGTTTCTCCTAACGTTACTCCACTCAACTAGATTCATCTTCATACAGATCAGTGGCTTCCAACTTTTTCACCAGCGAGGGCCCTATATGTTTAGATGAATTTTCCCATGGACCCCTAATTAGAATAGTCACCAGGCCTTTAAAAAAAATCAATTCCAAAGTTTATTCTTAACAAGATTTCGAAGCAGAAGTTAGTTAATGGACTCACAGGGGTCCGGGGTTAAGCTGCGAGGAACCACTGACAAACTTTTTTTTATGTACAATCACAAACTTAAATATATAATGCGAAATCTTTGTCCACACAATCACCCCTGATCCTATTCAATCCAGACCTACACTTACCTTAGAATTTCTAATGACACTAACTGGTCGTTCCGCTTTCCTTTACCACGGAAGGACATCTTGTATCGTGTTGCAAAGGGCCTTAACCATTGCATTTCAACAAGAGGCCATGACTGATTTCAGAAACAGTTGAGAGTCCAGCCATTAGCATGAATTTCCGCAGGCTTCTAGAAGTAAAGGAAGGTGATGATGGTGAGGATGAAGGTGAGGATGATGATGTAGGTGAGGATGAGGATGATGCTAATAATGATGATGAGGATGAAGCTGATGATGATGAAGATGACAATAAGGACGAGGCAAACGAGGAGGGTGATGATAATGAGGAGGAGGAAGAGGAAGATGGTGATGATGATAATGATGGTGCTGATGACGAAGACGACGATGAGGAAGCTGGGGATGATGAGGATGAAGATGAAGAAGCAGATGATGAAGATGAGGAGGAGGAGGAGGAAGCTGCTGAAGAAGAGGATGAAGATGAGGAAGCTGATGAGGATGATGATGAGGAGGAAGAAGCTGATGAGGATGAGGACGAAGATGAGGAAGCTGCTGAGGATGAAGAGGATGAAGATGAGGACGAAGATGAAGAAGAGGAAACTGGTGATGATGAGGACGAGGGTGAAGATGAGGAAGAGGAAGCAGCTGAGGATGAGGACGAAGATGAGGATGAGGAAGATGAAGCAGCTGAGGATGAGGACGAAGATGAGGATGAGGAAGAGGAAGCAGCTGAGGATGAGGACGATGATGAAGATGAAGACGAGGAAGAGGAAGAGGAAGCAGCTGAGGATGAGGACGAAGATGATGATGAGGATGAGGAAGAGGAAGAGGAAGCAGCTGAGGATGAGGACGATGATGATGAGGAAGAAGAAGCAGCTGAGGATGAGGACGATGATGATGAGGAAGAGGAAGCAGCTGAGGATGATGAGGAAGATGAAGATGAGGATGAGGAAGCAGCTGAGGATGATGATGAAGATGAAGATGATGAGGAGGATGAGGGAGAGGAAGAGGAAGCAGCTGAGGATGAGGACGAAGATGATGAGGAGGATGAGGAAGAGGAAGAGGAAGCAGCTGAGGATGAGGACGAAGATGAGGATGAGGATGAGGAAGAGAAGAGGAAGCAGCTGAGGATGAGGACGAAGATGAAGATGAGGAAGAGGAGGAGGAAGAGGAAGCAGCTGAGGATGAGGACGAAGATGAAGATGAGGAGGAGGAGGAGGAAGAGGAAGAGGAAGCAGCTGAGGATGATGAGGAAGATGAAGATGATGAGGAGGATGAGGAAGAGGAAGAGGAAGCAGCTGAGGATGAGGACGAAGATGATGAGGAGGAAGAGGAAGCAGCTGAGGATGAGGACGAAGATGATGAAGATGATGAGGATGAGGAAGCAGCTGAGGATGAGGACGAAGATGATGAGGAGGATGAGGAAGAGGAAGAGGAAGCAGCTGAGGATGAGGACGAAGATGAGGAGGAGGAGGAGGAAGAGGAAGCAGCTGAGGATGAAGACGATGATGATGAGGAAGAGGATGAGGAAGAGGAGGAAGCAGCTGAGGATGAGGACGATGATGAGGAGGAAGAGGAAGAGGAAGCAGCTGAGGATGAGGACGATGATGAGGATGAGGAAGCAGCTGAGGATGAGGACGATGATGAGGATGAGGAAGAGGAGGAAGCAGCTGAGGATGAAGATGAAGATGAGGAGGAGGAGGAAGAGGAAGCAGCTGAGGATGAGGACGATGATGAGGATGAGGAAGCAGCTGAGGATGAGGACGAAGATGATGAGGAGGAAGAGGAAGCAGCTGAGGATGAGGACGAAGATGATGAGGATGAGGAAGCAGCTGAGGATGAGGACGAAGATGATGATGAGGATGAGGAAGAGGAAGAGGAAGCAGCTGAGGATGAGGACGAAGATGAGGAGGAGGATGAGGAAGAGGAAGAGGAAGCAGCTGAGGATGAAGACGATGATGATGAGGAAGAGGAGGAAGCAGCTGAGGATGAGGACGATGATGATGAGGAAGAGGAAGAGGAAGCAGCTGAGGATGAGGACGATGATGAGGATGAGGAAGCAGCTGAGGATGAAGACGATGATGAGGATGAGGAAGCAGCTGAGGATGAAGACGATGATGAGGATGAGGAAGAGGATGAGGAAGCAGCTGAGGATGAAGACGATGATGATGATGAGGAGGAGGAGGAAGCAGCTGAGGATGAGGACGATGATGATGAGGAAGAGGAAGAGGAAGCAGCTGAGGATGAGGACGATGATGAGGATGAGGAAGCAGCTGAGGATGAGGACGATGATGAGGAGGAGGAGGAGGAAGAGGAAGCAGCTGAGGATGAGGACGAAGATGATGAGGAAGAGGATGAGGAAGAGGAAGAGGAAGCAGCTGAGGATGAAGACGATGATGGTGAGGAAGAGGATGAGGAAGAGGAGGAAGCAGCTGAGGATGAGGACGATGATGAGGAAGAGGATGAGGAAGAGGAGGAAGCAGCTGAGGATGAGGACGAAGATGATGAGGAGGAGGAGGAGGAAGAGGAAGCAGCTGAGGATGAGGACGATGATGAGGATGAGGAGGAAGAGGAAGAGGAAGCAGCTGAGGATGAGGACGATGATGAGGATGAGGAAGCAGCTGAGGATGAGGACGAAGATGATGAGGAGGATGAGGAAGATGAAGAGGAAGCAGCTGAGGATGAGGACGATGATGATGAGGAAGAGGATGAGGAAGCAGCTGAGGATGAGGACGATGATGAGGAAGAGGAAGAGGAAGCAGCTGAGGATGAGGACGATGATGATGAGGAAGAGGATGAGGAAGCAGCTGAGGATGAGGACGATGATGAGGATGAGGAGGAAGATGAAGAGGAAGCAGCTGAGGATGAGGACGAAGATGAGGATGAGGAAGCAGCTGAGGATGAGGACGATGATGATGATGAGGAAGAGGATGAGGAAGCAGCTGAGGATGAGGACGAAGATGAGGATGAGGAAGCAGCTGAGGAAGAGGACGATGATGGTGAGGAAGAGGATGAGGAAGAGGAGGAAGCAGCTGAGGATGAGGACGAAAATGATGAGGAAGAGGATGAGGAAGAGGAAGCAGCTGAGGATGAGGACGAAGATGAAGATGAGGAGGAGGAGGAAGAGGAAGCAGCTGAGGATGAGGACGATGATGAGGATGAGGAAGCAGCTGAGGATGAGGACGATGATGAGGATGAGGAAGCAGCTGAGGATGAGGACGAAGATGATGATGAGGAGGAAGCAGCTGAGGATGAGGACGATGATGAGGATGAGGAAGCAGCTGAGGATGAGGACGAAGATGATGAGGAGGAGGAAGCAGCTGAGGATGAGGACGATGATGAGGATGAGGAAGCAGCTGAGGATGAGGACGAAGATGATGAGGAGGAGGAAGCAGCTGAGGATGAGGACGATGATGATGAGGAGGAGGAGGAAGAGGAAGAGGAAGCAGCTGAGGATGAGGACGAAGATGAGGAGGAGGAGGAGGAAGAGGAAGAGGAAGCTGCTGAGGATGAAGACGATGATGATGAGGATGAGGAAGCAGCTGAGGATGAGGACGAAGATGATGATGAGGATGAGGAAGAGGAAGAGGAAGCTGCTGAGGATGAGGACGAAGATGATGATGAGGATGAGGAAGAGGAAGAGGAAGCAGCTGAGGATGAAGACGATGATGATGATGAGGATGAGGAAGAGGAAGCAGCTGAGGATGAGGACGATGATGAGGAAGAGGAAGCAGCTGAGGATGAGGACGATGATGATGAGGAGGATGAGGATGAGGAAGCAGCTGAGGATGAGGACGATGATGAGGATGAGGAAGCAGCTGAGGATGAGGACGAAGATGAGGATGAGGAAGAGGAAGAGGAAGCAGCTGAGGATGAGGACGATGATGATGATGAGGATGAGGAAGAGGAAACAGCTGAGGATGAGGACGATGATGAGGAAGAGGAAGCAGCTGAGGATGAGGACGATGATGATGAGGAGGATGAGGATGAGGAAGCAGCTGAGGATGAGGACGATGATGAGGATGAGGAAGCAGCTGAGGATGAGGACGAAGATGAAGATGAGGAAGAGGAAGAGGAAGAGGAAGAGGAAGCAGCTGAGGATGAGGACGAAGATGATGAGGAGGATGAGGAAGAGGAAGAGGAAGCAGCTGAGGATGAGGACGAAGATGATGACGAGGATGAGGAAGAGGAAGAGGAAGCAGCTGAGGATGAGGACGAAGATGATGAGGAGGATGAGGAAGAGGAAGAGGAAGCAGCTGAGGATGAGGACGAAGATGAGGAGGAAGATGAGGAAGAGGAAGAGGAAGCAGCTGAGGATGAGGACGATGATGATGAGGAGGATGAGGAAGAGGAAGAGGAAGCAGCTGAGGATGAGGACGATGATGAGGATGAGGAAGAGGATGAGGAAGCAGCTGAGGATGAGGACGATGATGAGGATGAGGAAGCAGCTGAGGATGAGGACGATGATGAGGATGAGGAAGAGGATGAGGAAGCAGCTGAGGATGAGGACGATGATGATGAGGAGGATGAGGAAGAGGAAGAGGAAGCAGCTGAGGATGAGGACGATGATGAGGATGAGGAAGAGGATGAGGAAGCAGCTGAGGATGAGGACGATGATGAGGATGAGGAAGAGGATGAGGAAGCAGCTGAGGATGAGGACGATGATGATGAGGAGGATGAGGAAGCAGCTGAGGATGAAGACGATGATGAGGATGAGGAAGCAGCTGAGGATGATGATGAAGATGAAGATGATGAGGAGGATGAGGATGAGGATGAGGAAGCAGCTGAGGATGAGGACGATGATGAGGAAGAGGAAGCAGCTGAGGATGAGGACGATGATGATGAGGAGGATGAGGATGAGGAAGCAGCTGAGGATGAGGACGAAGATGATGAGGAGGATGAGGAAGAGGAAGAGGAAGCAGCTGAGGATGAGGACGAAGATGAAGATGAGGACGATGATGATGAGGAAGAGGAAGAGGAAGCAGCTGAGGATGAGGACGAAGATGATGAGGAAGAGGAAGAGGAAGCAGCTGAGGATGAGGACGAAGATGATGAGGAAGAGGAAGCAGCTGAGGATGAGGACGAAGATGAGGAGGAGGATGAGGAAGAGGAAGAGGAAGCAGCTGAGGATGAGGACGAAGATGATGAGGAAGAGGATGAGGAAGAGGAAGCAGCTGAGGATGAGGAAGATGAAGAGGAAGCAGCTGAGGATGAGGAAGATGAAGAGGAAGCAGCTGAGGATGAGGACGAAGATGAAGATGAGGAAGCAGCTGAAGGTGATGATGATGACGAGGATGAGGAAGAGGCCGTTGGCGAAGAGGGGGATGAGGACGATGACGAAGAAACCGACGACGACGTTGAAGATGATGCAGAAGACGAAGGTGAAAAAGAAAA